TGATATCACTATCCATTTATAATTATCCATCGCAACTGACTGTGATCATTAAACAACTACTTCTTCAATTACATCACCAAATGTGTCATTCCTTTTTAAGTGGAGTATAAACGTTTTGGGATAAACGTTAATTCGGGTAATGTTTATTAAACCATAAACTTGTCAAGTTTTATTATGTAATAATAATTAATAAAATTGTTAAAGCAAATAAACGATGTTTCCAGCCACAAATGAACTTATTTCACTTTCAAAGAAAACATTTTTGGGATAACATGTTAAGCTTCTTTTCATTAATTTATATTGTACCACTTTTAAAAAAACGGTTCATATAATATCTAATATCAAAAGACACATTACCTAATAATCAAACATATTCGTATTACCAAAATAAAAATAACAAATCCCATATTCATTAGAAATATTTGTATTCCTTCGAATTCATCATCTGTAGTAAATCACGAGAGTATTCACACTTGAACGATTTAAACGATTAGTATTCGTTTACAATGCAAGTTTCAAAGTTCTTATCGACAGGTATATATATATTCGAATTATGAAGCTTTTAAACTTATATAAACTTTACTGTAAAACATGCCAATAAAACAAAAATATAATTTTACGTAAACCGAAACACAATTGCTCTCTGTATAAACATACAGGACAAGAAGAAAATTCTCCTATTGGTACTGTGAGAATCTTTTAGGACTCTCTACTTTCAGAAGCCTCGGAATTTCCAATCGCGTCATAAATCATTTGAATGCTGCCGCAATAAGAACTGATTTGCTTGAAAATCTGCCAGGCCGAGACGGCCGTCACCGGCCGGCAGCCTTGACAGCCATCGAAAATGGCAGAAAAATTACATACGGCATCAATCTCGATCATCCCGTGCGCGTGTAATTCCTGCCGGCGATAATTGGCCGTACTTACACGCGTTATTACGATACAACTGTCGAACTGGAGGCGAAAGTTGCCGGTGGGACCGCTGGTTTTTTGCGTGATCCACGATTCCACGCGCTCCCATTTCCTCCGGTTCGATTTCAATTCGGCCATCAAAGTCTCGCCACTTTTATTTATTCGGAGGGTCGTTGGCGTTACGTGCTCGGCCCGGAATCTGGATTAACGAGGCGTCCTCCGTCTTCGAAAAACGCAGGCAGATGAAATTTACGGTAAATCTTCGGTTAAAAGGCATTATCAGCGAAAAGGGTTTAACTACACGCGATAATTGCATTTCGAATATTTTAAACGAAGAGAACAAGGATTTCGGGAAATTCGTTTATTCGTTAATTGACGTGAATTATGGAGAATAATTGTTAACGATGCATTCGGTTTTCGGAAAATCTAGATAAATTGGAGACATGGTTAGACTAAGGATTTTTATAGAACGTTTTTTAGAGTATTGTTGGAAACAGAGAATTAGGTTATAAAATTATCTGTTATAGTATATGTTATAAACAATGCTGTATTTTGAGTGTTTTAAGTATTTCTCTGTATTACGTTCACTTTGTATAATTTTGTAATTACGCATTTGCCATAAATGTATAAACATCCGTAGTTTACATATTATGGCGGGGTTCATTGCATAATTGGTAGGAGTGTATTAGTAAATAGTACCTTGTAATATAAAGACATGGTTGATTGTTAGAATTACATTGAAAAAATTCAGCCTGTATTTTCGTACCTTTCTGTTCCCGATGTATTTACATTTTGTTCTGAACAAACGTAGATTCTGAATGGATGTTCGAAATCCAATTTGAAGTGATGAATGGAAAAATTCCGTAAGATGTCTAAAGACTCTGTTTATCTTTTAAAGATTTGAAACTTGGCAGGTGCACGTAGACTTTCGCGGTCGAGGGTATTCGCACACTTAAAACTGATCACGCGAGGTTGAATTTCATGAGACAGGATTTTTGTGCCGAAAATAATTATAAATTACGAGCGTTCCAGTTGTGGACATCTATAAGATTGATTCGAGCATGTATGATGAAACTTTGAAGCAAGCAACTGTAATTATTTTGATTTGACGTTGCACATGATGAATTTCACCCCTGGAAGATGAATCACGTGTTTCTTCATTGTCCACGCAAATATAGCATTGTTATTTCGATAAATATCACCGGACTTTAAAGAATTATCATTTACACTAGCACACTGAAATTTTTCATTTTGCTTTTCCAAATAAATAGTAAATTATATTTGGAAATGAGTCATATCCATACTACTAAATTGAACATGTGTTTAACAATTTTGCATATAATTAATAAATTAATAACAGATTATTATAATCAATCATTAATAATATAATAGTCATCAGTTACATATAATTAATAATTAGATACATATTTGATTAATAATAATACTCAATAATAATATTCAAAATTATTCTACAATACTCTAAAAAGGCAATAAATGGTAGAAAACAATAAAGTACAATACTTATATATTTATATCATTACACAAATCAAAACCAAAATCATTAAACAACTACATGACACGATTCCCGTCGCTTTAAACATGAAATATAAAGTCCAACAAATTGACGCGTCCCGTGAATCTAGCGACGAAGTCGTTTTCAGAAGTGAGGAATGGAAACGAGGTCCCACCGCGTTAAATTGTTTACGTTGCACCCCAGCTTTAAAATATCAACTTAACAAGTGTCTCGTGAAATAGGTTTACGAGCGGCCGTTCCAAAAATAACGAAACCTCCAGAATCCCGGCCTGTCGTGTGCAAACGGTTGCAACAATGCAAGAGCCAAGGATATAACTTGGCGACGCAGATTTTCGGAAAACGGTGTTTCCTTAACGATCCGTTGACAATGGTGAGCAGGGCGTAAACATTGGTCCGCTGTTCGCGGCGTTCAGCAAATAACGCGAATACGCGTCGCTCAGCGGCGCGAAGGTGTCGCGTTTCAATGGCGGCCGGGAACAAGACAAAAACGAAGGAGGCGCACGGTGCGGCCAAACGCTCGTGTTCTGAATAAAACTCAATAACTTAATAGGTACGAACGATACGAACAAATACTTCAGACAAAAGTTGTAAAGCATAGAGCTAAACATATGGTGGTTATATTTCTTTTTACATTATGTGGATATTATGAAGTTTCTTTCGATCACAGTGGATATTTTGCGTTTCGATTCCAACGTTATATAAATAGAGAAACGGAATGTATTTGCACAAAATTTTGAGTTTTAGAATGAAAATCTTTTTGTATAGCAGGGACTACTTAGCAGCGCATTGGTAACCTTCAATTTTTGTTATCTGAATAATCGAATTTTGGGGTTTTGTCCGCAGGCGGCCGCACTGTGGGGCGCCGTGAAAAGAGAAAAATGATCCGCTCAGAATGAATCTGTCTGAAACGGAAACGAGGGATTGAACTCTCGCTGCAACTGCTTCGGGAAATGCTGTTCGAAGGAATTTTCTGTTCTTGCTTGTAGTTGTATACAAAGTAATTGTAATTTGTGTGATATTTCGTCGCGTGTGAATTTACGTTTTTAGTTTTAATAATTATTTATGCGTTTCACAATTGTAAGAATGGAAAGGTAACTACGGAAATGTAAATGTAAGAATAAACTATTTATTAACATTTTTAGAATATTTTTAATGAACTCCTTGTTTTTCAGTTTCAAAGTACTTTTTATGAAATTCAATGTCGAAGAAAAAGTCTGAATCATTTTAGTAACACTGTCATATAGCACCTTCTGTTATTTACGACATAGGAGGCCAGAAAAATATTTCAGATTCAAATCATTCCATCGATTTTCAACTCAACTACTAACTCACTTATTAACAAATATAACAAAACAAGATAATACCAAACAGATCAATTCTCATTATCACAATCGACCCTGAAAGTCGCAAAAATAATTGCCTCTTCATATTTCCTCATCTCCTACCAGAAGTAATTAAGAACCTCTGTCGGATGATCCACTCGACGCTATACCAAAACGTCGCATAAAAACTTATGCAAGACCGAATTGCGTGAATGTTAAAGCGCAATCGATCACTCGGCCCTATCGTCCGCGAGTCGTCGTACTTATTATACGCCTCTCGCGGTAACTCCATCGATCATCAAGCTAACAGTGCATAGAGGCAAAGGGACTCCTCCAGTTACGACGCTTGGCTTCCGACGCATGGTCATTACTGGCTCGCGGCAGTAACAAAGGATGTAACGATAGAAAACAAAATTCCCTATAGTTCCGTCTCACTTTGTTGCATTCAGTCTAGCTTTTATCCTTTGTTATTGCCACGCCAAAAATGACAATGCGTCGAAAGCCGACGCGATGAGCATGGTGAGTGGAAGGGTCCCCTTGCCCCTGTACACTTTTAGTTTGGTGGTCCGTGGAGCTAACATGAAAGGCATGCAGTACTTAGAGTTCTCTCATCCTTTTCTTATCAGAAAAAAGCTTTGTTTCTCGGTTGCTCCAAAACAATCGTCGCGGTCCAGCAACAGTGACGCTGAGCATTCCGTCGCGATTCCGCAGCTATCTTACTCACTGGCTTAACACTAGGTTTACGGAACACGTCAATTTGAATGTCAAGTTGAAATTTATACATATTATTCGCTAAAGTCATATCAATTTTGATCGATGCAACTACACGAATATATATCTTAATTGTCTGCTTGTAAACTGCTAATTTTCACGAATCAGATCAACTAACATCAATTTCGCTAGGAACAGTAAAATAAATTGTACAATAATCCTCCGTAAACCTAGTGTTAAAAGTGAAGAGGGGCAAGTTCAGTCCGTTCGCAATGGCGGAATTAGTTTCAGCACGTCTTTGTTACTAGACGACCCACGAGCTGAGTGGAGCGTGCGGCCGAATCTTCTTGCCCTCTTCACTTATGAACCGCAGGCCCGCTTGGCTCACCGGAGTAGCAGTATGTAGAATCGCCAGCGTCGCCGGCGTGAGATCGCAGAAAAATAGGCTCTTAGCTTGTTGGCCGATGGAGCTAACGTGAGAGGTGTACAGTACCTATACGTTTCCTTCTTTCGTCACTCACCGTTCTCGACGTTCAACTCCGCGGCGGTTCTGTAGGACATAGGCCTCCCGAAGTCGCTGGCATCGCTCGGATGCAGCAATAATTGATGAGACGCCCTGGAATGATGTCTGGAGGTGGACGCGCGGTGCAAGTGAACACTATTTAGGACGGTATTGCTCGAAGCGCGGCTGAGCGCCTCCCTTTGACGCACGGCCTCCTTGTAGATCTTGCAGTACATCACGATCATCACGAGCCCCGGGATCCAGAAGGAGACCGACGAACTCACCACCGCGTACACTCGATTCACCACGAACACGCACACCTACATAAGCCCACCGAGATTTTGTACGCCGTGAATTGTGGAGCCGCGAGGAGCAACGGCTTCACCACGGTTTCTGTGTTTTACTTTGATGTTGATCGCGATCGATCTGGGATACTTTTACAGGGAAACATTATACAGAGGGCTCGGATGGCAAACAGGGTTGATTATGTTTTCGTTGTAACCCTCGTGTTAGCAACCGATATGTCTGCTTTGATCTAAATTTTAGTAGCAATATTTTTGCGTAAGACAATTTAGTATTAATTTTGAGTAAGATGATTTGGTACTAATATTTTTGGATAAGACAGTATGGTATTTATATTTGTGCATACAAAAATTTAATATCAATGTTTTTGAATAAATTCTTTATTTTCGAGTTAAAAAGCGATGTAAAAATGTCGAGATGACGGAGATTCCAAGTGATTTTGTTAAATCTTCACAATGTGAATTGATGATGTATTGATCAATAGATTAAAATCGATTTCCGATTGCTAACATACGGGTGGAACGTTTAAAAAGTGTCTAAATAAAGTTTTTGGATTAATTAAGGTTGAAAGTGACTGTCAGTGTGGTTGAAATTAATAAATGTCAACAATTCTATTATGGGAGGTACATAATAATGAAAATGTAATGTACTGCTTCATTAAATCTGGAACATGGTTTCGCAATTTGTACTGGCAGTATGTACTAATATTGAGAGTGTCGTCTAGAAATAAATTGTAATATTAATTAACAATGCCTCTATGAAGAAATAAAATGGTAAAGATGAAATTGATATTGTTGCCGATACAGATTCTTTTGTTAATTTGCAATTATATTATTTCAATAAGAAATAAATACTTGACTAATATTCACAGAACACGGTCTACTAAATTTAATAATGTTAATCGTTTACTTTGTTTTTCTAAGTAATAGAGTTATATCAAATTGAGTTTAATGTTTTCTATCACTGCCATTCTCGCGTACAGCAATACAATTTCCACCAGACTAAACTGAAGAATTTCAAGAGAACTAACGAGAAAAGGAATGATATATAAAATAGTAAATTGCGCCTGAAAATGGTCATTAAGAACACGTTAAACAACTCCAAGAATTAATAGGATGGAATGGGACAAGAACTTGGTAACTATTAATAGAAACATGGAAATTAAGAGCCAGCGAGATTAAAAGCAAACAAATTAAGAAAGTCAATTGTGAAATGTTAATTGCCCCGATATCGAATTTTTTTGCGTGAAAGATGATAGAGGCTGCAGGGCTTGATGCTTCATTGTCTCAACGAGTATGGAATGGGCTAATGAGTGACGCTGATCAAGAAATTCTTCAGAAAATTTCTCAGCTGGAAAAGTAATAGATTTACTAACACTTTTCTAATATATAACTAATCCTTCATGCAAAAAAAGCGAAAAAATAACGTTTTTTTCATTTAAAGCTTTGTTTCCAAGAAAAATAATTTTTAAAATTTATCAAATATATTCATTCTTCTTTACAATAAAACTTTCGTGTAGATATATTTGAGAGATGACGAATGTTTCAATAATATTTATATAACTAACTACTATTCAATTAAATTAGAAATTCCTAAAAATTATCTCTCAAATATATCTATAGTTAAAATATTTTCAAATTTAAACGAATTATTGAATTAAAAATTGTTATTCTTGTTTCAGGCTTATTTTCGCACGTAGAGTTATTACACGGTCGGTTGTAGCACGATTTTTAGTACACCCTATATGTGAGCGAATATTCGCGTTAACGGATGCGCGCAAAATACAGGAACAAAGTTATAAGTGGTTGAATACCGGACGGAAAGCTATAAAACCAGAGAATATGACTTCATATATAATAACTGGATACATTGTTTAGGAACTATGTCGGCTATGTTTGAAAAGGGAGCATCATATCGCGGGGAATGGCGAAGATATTCATTTACCATTCCGAGAAGCGATGAAGTGGAAGGAACGTGGCCACCTTCCAACGGTTTAAGTTTATTTCTCAATTTACTGTTTCGATCGGGATAAAATGAAAATTTCAATTAAGTGTTTCTGAATATTTTCTTTTAATTATTGCACCGACTACTGCGGTAAAAATAAAATTTCGTGACCCAATAGACGGATGTTGGAATAATCAATGAACGAGAAGTTTTACGTAAAAGGGTATCCACGTAAAAAATCTGCAATTTCCAACGACGCAGCAAGCGTTTTAACGTGTGTCGAATCCATTTAATTGTTTCTACTGTTTGAAATGAATGGGAATGTCCGTTGCAGGAAATGAGATTTTAATCGCTTCTGTAAGAAGACACACGGCCGCGGAGATGGAAAAAATGCGAAACGATTCCGTGTAACCGGCATTTAGTTCATGTAGAAAGTTAAACAGCGGAAAAGTACAATGCATTACGTAAACGGTTTTCGAAATTGCTTTTTCCGGCGATATTTGTTTTTTTCCAGTGTCTTTCCATGAAAATTGCTTTCCTCGGCAATGCCGCAATTTCGAGTAAAAAATTAAAGACGGAAACAGTTCGTTATTTTTCGCGGAAGAATGAAATTTCCAAGGACACAATTAAAAGAATGTTAGAAATAAGACTTTTGTGCTTGGAAACAAGTAGACTGCATTTATATGCATATATAATAAATGAATAGCAGAATAGAATTCTTAACAAATTCGAATATTCATTTGATATTAATAATTTTCTAGAAAAAGTTAATTCAATATAGATATTTAAATTTCTCTAAACCTTGTTGGTTCGAAGTTACTAGGGATGATATTATTGTATAATAATAATTACAGCATCTTCACTCTTGATTTTCCTCTTATATCATTATGGAAAGCGCCCCATTAAAATTTCCCCACCTCTCGTCGGCCACCCCGTATATTTTAATATCATTATACGTTATCATATTTCATTCAACCAATTTAAATTTTAATATGGTTGCATAGTAAGAAGAATGAGCGTAATTAAACCATGAACGGAACTCGAAGGTTAAACGCCAATTTTCTCTATAACTCCTATTTTCTTCGATTGATCCTTAAAAAGTCAAATTTACGTAAAAATCCGCGGTTTATGTAACAAGAAAGAGTAGAAAGGGAGACAAGGATGTGCAAGAAAATGTAGTAAAGTATGACAAAATATAGGAAAATGTAGAAAAATATATAAAAATGCAAAGGAATATAGAAAAATACAGGACAGTGTAGAAAAATCTGTGGAAAATGTAGAGAACTATAGAAAAACGTAATACAATGGAAATGCAGTAAAAAGTAATACAAACAAAATTTAGGAAAATATAAAAAGTACAAATCTATTAAAATAAAATGAACAACGAACAAGAATGTACGAGAAAATAGTGAAAGTCTAGGAAATAGGGGATAATGGACGAAATAAAAAATATCAAGAATTAAAAACTGAATTACAAAATGATACATGAATTATAGACCTGAAATTGAATACACTGTATAAATTACATGAAAAAAAAGGAACGTATCGCAAGTGAGAAATGTTCCGTCTGAATGGGAAGAGGGTGTGATACAGTCTCACAGTGAAAAAGAGAGACGCAAGGTGAATAGCAGTTTATAGCGAGGTGACGTTAACGCCAATAGCGTGGAAAATATACGTGCCGGTATTGGCGGGTAGGTTAAAGATGGAAATGGAGGCGAATGGGATAGTGTCGGGCAACCAGACTCGTTTTGGAAAGGAAACGGCGAGGGTAACGTGTTACATAGAAACGGGGCTGGAGGATGAATCTGATAAGGGAACTACGGGGACCCGAAAATTCCGTTTGTCCCGGAACTTCACCGAATCGTTGGGGATCTGAATCGAAGTATCCGGAAACTTTTCCCGCAACTTCGGCTGCTTTTTGTTCCTTCACGGGCAGGGGCATCCCTTATAGGTTAATGGATGTTCACCCATTTTCCTGTGACCCCCGAAAACGAGCACCGGATATCACGGAATTGTTGAAAAGGAAATTTAGTGCTTTATAAAACCGCGCGAGGGATTTTTTGAAAATTTATCATTTCGATAAAAAAGCGTCCCATGCTCTCATAACTTTACACATATTTCGTGGAGACCGCACGGTACAAAAGGAGAGTAGATTTTCGAAACTCCCACGGTATACGGATAATACACGTGAATCTTTAAAAAGTACTTTCAATATTCTCGGTCTATTGATTTCCAAGAAGCTTGAGAAATAAATGAAAGTTTCTGGTATTATTAAAGTTTCCTAGGAAAGAAGAGGGGAAATAATAGAATCGTGCGAAGGGACAAAAAGCTTTTGTTCGATTTAGTGTGAATGGATAGGAAAGAAAAATGTACGTAGGTAGGTTGAAGATTTGATTATTTCGAGATAATTGAATAAATACTGCTCATATGATTTAATGATTTTATCTAAACGAAACAGTGGAAGTTTCAGTCTTAATAAGAAAATGATAGATTGATCCGTATTGTTAATTAACTCGAAATAAATAACTAGGAACAACAGTGTTAATGCACAAAACGACAGACTATGTAATAAACAAGATTGCAGAAACGCTTGAAAATAGATCAGGAAAATTTGGAAAACACTGCAACTCGAGTGGGAAAGCCGCGCGTGTGCTGGACGCGGATTTATTAAAGCTATTAATCCCGGGTTTCCGTTTATAGTACGCGCGAATCAGAGAAGGATAGTAAATCATATTCATGCAAATTCCGAAGGCCGTACGTCTTGGCCATCGTGTTTCCTTTCGATCGGCTTCCCCGGTTGTTGTTTTCGATCGGTCAATTGAAATTCCGTTTCGACTGAAGCGTAAATGAGCGACTCAGAATAATAATGGTCTAACTACTATTTCTTAGTTTCGGAGAAAACAATGCTTCACGAAATGTTCTTGAATTAATTAACCCTTTGCACCCGATTTATTTTCAATGTTGTCAGGTGTAAACTGGTATTTATTTTCAGGGAAATGAATTAAAGTAATTTACAGCGGTAGAATTCAACGTTTTATATTTATTTTATTTATTATTACTATAACGAAATTTGATTTTTAAACGTTATTACGTACATTTTACAGTACCACAAATAAAATATAACAAATTTGTGTTTCCATTTCTAGCGTTACATACCCGTGCAAAGGGTTAAATACTGGTATTATAATTACTGATATTAATAACTGATAATAATGAATATTATTGATAACATTGTTAAATTAGTTTCAATTAACCCAAGAACATTTCACTGAAACTTTTTCCTTTTTGTCGGGAAGTCTGGAATGGAAGAGAGACCATTATTATTTTGGGCCACTGAAATACTCGATAAAACACTCTATCAACTATGCCATAATGAGAAAATTTAACGCTGCTTACCGTGCCCGCCGTGCCCTGACAAGATTAACAGCGGGACGAGAGTTCGAATTACGAATTAACGCGGAACGTGACGCGGCGAATCCACCGATTTAAGCGGAAAGCGAATCGAATTCATTCCCGTTCAATCCCCCCGCCAGATAAATAGGGATTTACGAGACTGTAAATTGAATAGAACACAGAAATTTCAGTCGATAGTTTTTCTATCTAAGAATCCAGCCATTTTTTATCGGATATTATTTTTTCGATAATTCATGTCTCGATAAATTGCGGATTAAAACTTGATGGATATTCGAGACATTTTTTAGAATTACACGCTGCGCGAGGAAATGTATTGGAGAGGTATACTTTTGAAATATTGAGATCTAAACAAAGTCTCATTAAGCAAAATTAATGGAGACGAAGCGAATAAAATTTTTGCGATTCGTTACTGAAGGGATGCAGCGGAGGAATTCTACAATTTAATGCGAACTTTTGCGTGTACAGCCGTGTGCATTTCTGCAAGACGAAAAAGAAGTTCCAAGAGAATTTTCATTTGATCCTTAATCCTATAAGTGAACGTAGGATATTTCTTTTGCAGGAACTCGTTGAGAACTCGCTTTATTGTTGCAAACGTTGGACTCGGGAAACTTGATTTGTAAAAACGCCCACGTCTAAATATGGTAAATTAAAACAGTAAATTGCTTCTGTAAAAACATGAACATTTTGCGTCCTTCCCACATTACATAATTATCAAATATTTATCTTTATTTTGCTAAGTTTCTTTAAGTACACCAAGTAAAGTTCTTGCATCTATAAACTCTTGTTACAATAATGAACTGCGAACAAGAAACACAAGAATTACCAAAGCACAGAAGCGCACAATCCCCGTCACCCTACATTAATTCTAAAAACCGTGCCACAACTCAGTAACAACATCAAACTAAAATACCCCTTAATTATCCCCAAAAATATACTCAAAGCCATAAATTCATCACAACGGTCGCCCTTCTTTCGTCAAATTCCATTCGCCAACATTATCAAACGAAACAAGAAACAATCTTCGCAACCTCCATCCTCCTACAAAAATATACCAAACTCGCCACCGATCAACATCACCAGTAAAACTCCAAAATAGCTTCTCAATGTTTCCTCTGCCAAAGAAGAAACACCGTAATCATCGGCATAAAAAGAAACCTCCACCAAAACCATGAACACTCCACGAAAATCTCTACCTCTGGGTTGTCTTTGAGAAACTGCAGGTGTTCATTGGTGGTGTACCACCCTAAGAATATAGGTATGAAGCTGATCAGCGCGGGCAACAGCCAGGCGCTGCCCAGCATGCAGGTCACGGTGATCCTCCTCATGATGGCGGCGTACTCCAGCGGCCTGACAATAGCGTAGTACCTGTCCACGCTGATGCAGCACAAATGTAGTATGGAGGCTGTGGAGAAGTATACGTCCAAAGAGCTCCAGACGTCGCACATTACTCTGCCGAACACCCAGCGACCGGTCAGCTCGACGGACGCGTTGAAAGTCATCGCGCAGACGGCGACGAGAAAGTCAGCGGCCGCCAGGCTGACAACGTAGCGATTGGTGGGCACCCGTAGCTTCCTATGGCGCCTGACGCTGGCTATCACCAGCGCATTCCCGATCAACGCGGTCACTATGATGCTGATCATCACCATTCCTTTAGCTACCGTCCACACCACGTTCTGCTGTTGATAAGCGTCCCTGGAGATGGTTTCCTCGACGGTCGTGTTCACCGTTTCCACGAGACGATCGATAACAGATGTCGAGCTGATCCTGGACAGAGTCGGGTAGTCCACGTCCTCGCCCGATGGCTCACTGGCTTCCATTCCAGAACCCGCGGCCTCGCTGCATGTTACGCGAAATGCCCACCGTTCAGGCAGCCGTAGTCCCTCGTTCCCGGAATACGGTCTTGAAGTTCCGGAAGCTGCCGCGGAAGATTGAGCGGTATTGCGCGACGAGACGCATCGCGCCGGAAGTTTTGACACTCGCGCGATAGCGGCTGACACCGCTGGGGATTACCGCACTGGGACTAGTACCGGTTTTTGGGTGTTTCGTTTGGAACTGCTTGTCTTCTGTTTGTTTGTTTCTAAGTGGGAAGTAGAAGTTTCGTTAGATTGGAATGCGGAACTTGATCAACTTTGCCATTTTTCTAATGTTTCTCGGTAGCTTTGATGAACCATGAGGTTTGGGGTACTAGAGTTTCTGGTAGCTTCTGTTTGATACGCAAGCTGAGAATGATGAAATTTTAGATAATCCTTCTTGAAAGATGTTGAAGTTGGAGACTTTAGATAAGTTTCGTTTTAAGATATTGAAGTTCATATAGTTTATATTAATTTCTTGGACAATATTAATGTCGGAGGTATTCCTGCCGGAGAAGTTCCCGAAGATTTAACTGACAGGTTTTTCATTTTCAAATTATTCCGTAATTGCGAGTAAGTTTGGAGAATCGTGTTATCGGACAGTTCGTTGTGAAGGTTCGGCGTTGTCGAAATTAATTATTCGAGGCCGGTCGGGAGCATTGTTGTCGAGATCGAGTCGCAACGGCGCGAGGCTCAAACTTTAAATGGCTTCCGGCCGCACCGTGCGCCTCCGCTTCTTTGTCGGGAAAGGTAATTCCGCGCGGCAATAAGGGCCGCGGCAAAAAAATCGAAAAATCTTCAGCGAGAGGTGAATGCCGGGGCGACACAACGGCGAACTTTCCGCATAAACATCGTCCGAGGCGGCGGAGTATACTTTAACATTAAAGCAAACAGCCGGCGGCGAGTGCCAGCCGGGACAAGTTGTGTGCATATTTGGCTTGCCCGAAAAACGCCTTTCGTACCTAGTATTCGAAGTAAAGCGCAAACAGTCGAGGGAGGCACGTAGACGTAATGTGCAAATACTCATCCGAGCTGGAATTACGCACGGGGGGAAAACTCGCTCCTCTTTCCAGACTTCCGTCGGTTTCCGAGCAGGACCGTCGTTGAAATATGTCGAACGAGTGATTTAACTGGTTCCACGTCGCATGAATCACTGGTAATAGGCTGTATGCTAGGTACTTCGTTTATTTGTAAATAGGTCCGAGCGTAACTTACGATTATTGCATTTCGAACGGGAAACGAAGAGACGAAATTCGAAGATACATAGACTATCCATACTGGAATTAAAACTATTCGTTTTAGAATTCAATAACTGTATAAATTAACAGATAATTCTTTTTAATTTATTACTAAAAATAAATGCAAGTAAATACTCAATAGAATAATAATATCAAGAAATTCCTATTTTGAACATTGATAACTTTGAAAGTTACCCAAACTGCAATAATAACATTCTTCAGTGATATATTATTGAATTCTATGCAAAGAACAAACATATAAACTCAATAAACACAGGGTTGCAATTCCTACACCTTCCAATTGTTTCGTGAAACGCTATCTTTCCGAATTCCAGCAAAGAACATTGAAACTAGTCTAAGCAGCGCTTCCTTAGACGAGACTACATCGACTCACTCCCGGCGTTAACAAAGCCCAGTGTCCCGAGACGAGACATTTCCGCGTCCGGGAGTACATTCGCCGTTAAGTAGAGCATAATCCTAGTGGCAAGTGTCAAACCCGAAATCAGAGCTAGAAGAGCTGTCAAGGTGCAACCACAGCCAGCCGAAACCGAGTTGTTCTGGAACAGCGATAACGCGAGATGCGACTCCGAGAGTTACAGGAAAGCTGAACAGGTTATCCAATATGGCGGACACGTCGCCCGAAGAGGGATACCTGGCGTCATGACCACGGGTACGAGCTTCAACCGAGCTTCGATTCTGATAAGAGGACAATCGTAACGATCCCGCGATAAAACGACACTCGTTCCGACCGTGACTTTAATTTCCACTCTGGCAGTTAGACGCCTTTAATCTTGAGCAACGACACCGCAGAGACATCGCTGCTATGGGACTTCGAGAGGCAATCTCGTAGTTAATCGGATGTTTGTCATTCATATGCTAGTGAAAACGAATTTGCTTCGACGGCACTCTAGCTTATCGTTACTGTGTTTAGTCTTTGCTCCGTGATAAAACTACCGAACAGTTAAATTGAGTTTTTGAAATTCCTTTACAGAAACTCCGAGAGTGCATCTATTAAAGCTTCCATTGATTTACAATTCAGTTCCTGTATTGCTATATCAATTTCTTTCATCATTTCTCAGAGAGACAAATGTTACCTTTTTAATAATTACGAAAAGAAGAAATTCGGAATGGGTATTTTAATCTGTTTGGTAGCTTTAGTGTTAATAATATACCGTGGTATGCTTGTTTTCTAAAGTATTTATAAATGGCAGTTGCAATTAGGAAACACAAGTAGGTAATGTGTGTTTATGTAGAATAAACATTGGCATACATACAAACATTAGGAATTTGAACAAGTTAAAAATAAAGCAGTCTCATTTTAGAAATTTAAGAAAACATTTCATTATTGATCATTAGTAATAAGCATTAATATCTGTCAAAAATGCCTAAAATTTGTTACCTAGTTATAAGACACCAATCATAGAAATGTTAATGTCCTGACTCCTAAATGTTCGTTTCAAATCACACAAGAAATATTTAAAATCATAAATCGCGATTAAAAATATACCAGAAAAATGCTGAAAACAAAATTTTCCTTGAAAAATCATTTTCCTTATGTCACATATTTATAAAAAAAGTAACCTAATATTCATTGAAACAAAAAGATGTTAGTATCAACATTCTTCAAAGGGCGGTAACGCACTCATTGGCAACCACTGGGTCAGATGTGCACACAGCGAGCCGTCCAACGTTAGTCCGCTTTGTTTCGCATTAACATAACACACCAGTGGCCGAGACTGCCGCATTGTTTGCGTGTTCTGAGGTTTATTTCCAGAATTCTTCCGCCGTTTACACTTAGCGGCCGTCCGACGAATTGTTCTCTATGCGGACCGTTGCGGACAACTTTTTTCAGTGACACGTCTGCGTCGAATGTTTAATTGTTTAATCGGAGAGTTCGCATTGTAATTGCATCGAGGAGAGCCCCGAGAATTTACATTCTTATGGGCGAATCGACGCGGACGAGAAACTTGTTACCTCGATGAATGGCTTCACGAGGTGCTGGAGGCAATAATGTCTGCGCTAGAATTGGAGTTCCCGCTTTATTGTCTTGCTGAATTATATTTATTGCTGCAAATTGCGTTACAACGTAATTTTACTACACCCAATTAGGAGCTATTTAAACTGAGCATTTAATTGCTTTACTATCGAATTCCTGGAAAACAAGGAACTCTATAATCCAGAATTCTATGTAAATTAATCAAAACCAAATAATACAAATGCTGTATAGCTACCGTAGGATATAAAAAAGTAAACTTTCAGTTTAAAGCATCAAGAATCATTCCGAAAGAAACATAACAAATAATAAACTAAGATCAAAAAAATTCTAACCAATATACGCAACAATCACAATCATTTATCCTGTTACCTGTGGAATTTAATTTAAAAAATCTCTCGTTTTGCGCGATAAAATCAGAAAATGAAGTGTGTATTCGTCAAACACAGGGAGAATACGCCCAGGGTATACTTCAATAAAAAACCAAAGCAAAACAAAAAAAAATTACACGTTGATTTGAAAAAATAAAGAATTTATCGTTGGACGAATTAGTATCATTTCAAGCTTAAAGAAGTCGTGTATACTCGTCAAATGCAGTTAACGGGTTAAACAAATAATCCATTTAACATCAATATTAAAGGAAATATCTACTACAATCGAGGTAACAAATTGCGTTGAGCACACTTTCGTCACTGTTGTCGCCGCGTCAATTTTCTCGTGGCTTGATTGCTACGCCCACAGTGTTCCAGCCGAAATCAACATGGCCGCCGCGGCCCGTCATCATTACGATAGCCGAACCGTGCAGTCCAAGGTTTCCCGATTCTTCGCGACATTGCGCCGCAACGTTCGCGGACGCGAAACGGGTCCGTGTCAGGGCCATTATCATTCGTTTCCTCTCGGTCCATCTCAATCGTGGAACGCCGACACATCCGGCCGTTAGCCAGCGAGCGACCGCTATCAATAAGTCCACTAGAGCCAAGGTCTAGATCACTTCAGCGACAGACGACGCCGCCGCGTGAGAAACCGCGTGTCCCAGGATCGAAGCAGCCAACATGGCCGCAATTAATAGGATGTTGATTGCCACGAAAGACTTTAGAGTTTCGCCTATTACATATTCTTCTATGGTGAAGATAAAAAGGAATCTATTACTTATTATTTCGCATCGCGATCCTTACGTTACACGATTATCCAGTGATTTACGCTGTTGAGCAGTCTCATTCGACATCAGTTATCTGGCAAATTATAATTGTTTTCGATTAATTTGGAAACTCCGGTCATCGGTGACCGCCATGGCAGTCAACTTGTTAAAGTCGTCCGAAACACACCGTAGTTCCGGCGGAAACGCGAACGGTTACAGCCGCAGAGGATGCTGGGACTGGGCTTGATTTCCTGTGCTCGATTTAGCTTGATGACAATGGGGAAACGATACTTGTCGTTCTAGCAATTATGGTAACTTTTATGTAGCGAGTTTTGTACGAAGTTACACAATCGTTTGTATACGCTTTAAGATTCGAATTCGATGGTCGTTAAGAAGTTTATTTTACCTTGGAAGGTAGATAGTAATAAATTTGTTTGTTCTTGGAATAAAATTAATTGATTTCATATCAAATTTAACACGAATATTGAGTTTACTATTTTGCGAACTAACTTTTAATTAACTGAAGATCAATTTATTCTGTTCTATAATTTGCTCTGTTAAAGAGTTCTTTTATTAACGAGGCAAAATATTTAATATATCATTTTACGTAAACTTATTACGTTCCTATTATTTAATTTTGCGGTAGTCTGATAGTTAGTCCTTATCAAAATAGACAACTAGAGTCACATTATTCTATAGTGTGATGTTACTCGACCAGCAGATAAACGAAGCGGTTTTATTATATGACACAACCTCCGCATAATTACATCAGCAAGCATTAAGCTATTTTTAGAGTCAGGCGACTGTGGCATCGGTATCGACACAATAACTATTTAAACTGAACAATATCATAAATAA